TCTAACTGAGGAGGGGCGATGGATGGGACGCACATTCCTATTCGGGCACCACCCCACCTAGGATCCGAGTACGTTAATAGGAAGGGGGATTTCTCTATGGTTGTCCAGGCGCTTGTGGATCACTGTGGGTGTTTCATCACATTAACACAGGCTGACCCGGAAAGGTGCATGACGCACGCATCTTTCGGAACACTTGGCTGTTCAGGAAGATGCAGGCCGGGACTTTTTTCCCTGAGCAGAAGATCACGGTAGGGGAAGTTGAAATGCCCATTGTGATCCTTGGAGATCCCGCTTACCCGTTAATGCTGTGGCTCATGAAACCCTACACAGGGAGCCTTGACAGCAGCAAGGAATGGTTCAACTACAGGCTGAGCTGGTGCTGAATGACTGTGGAGTGTGCCTTTGGCCCTTTAAAGGGCCGCTGGCAATCTCTGTATGGGAAGCTGGACTTGGCCGAAAACAGCATCCCCACGGTTATATCCGCATGTTGTGCCCTCCATAATATTTGTGAAGGGAAGGGTGAAAGCTTCACTCAGGCATGGACCTCCGAGGTTCAACACCTGGAGGCTGAATTTGCATAGCCAGAGAGCAGGGCTATTACAGGGGCCCAGCGCGGGGCTGCAAGGATTAGGGATGCCTTGAGGGAGCAATTTGGGGCTGAAAACCAGCAGTGATATCTGGTGCCCTGCACGGGAGTGAAGTGCAGTAGTTCCAATCTTTAGGAATCAGTGTCTGCTTAGCAGACAAGCAGACTTGCAGTGCCTTATTTCCTGGGCTAAGGAGTCTTTTACTTTATGCAATAATAAAGAATGTTTTCAAAGCCAAAGAATCCATTTATTGAAAGAAAAAAAAGTAATTATTGAAAAGAAACAAGGGGGTGGAGTGGGGAACAGAGCAATCACAGATTCGCGTATGTCCTGTCTGGTGTGCTGTGCAGTGAGTGCTGCACTTCAGGACAGCTATACTGCATGGTGATGGGGGTTGAGTGCAGAGGGTAAGGGTCATGGTTTTCAGGGCTGGGTGGTGAAGATACTGGTGTTGGAGGCAGCGGGTGGCGTGAAGAACACGGAAGTTGGGGAAAGTGGGTTGGAGGTGACAGTGGGGCACAACGGACAGAGTTTTGGGACAAGGGGGGGCGGGGAGGGCTACAGCTCCTGGATATCGTCTACTTGGTGCTCCAGGATGCTTATGAGCCTATCAGTGCTTTGCTGCCGGTGCGCGGTGCTTTGCCGCCGGTGCGCTGCGTTTTCCTGGTGGATCCTGCTTTCTCTCTCCCTCCAGTCCTGTGCTTTCTCATTCTCTTTAATAGATTGCCGCATAA